AATTTTCAAGAAATCTTTTAACTCCATCCATTAACTCCATTAACTCGGCACACAGGAGCCATTTACAAAGTCTCCGGTTCAGGCGGCGCTGGGAGCTGGGTGCGCATGCTTGCCCCATCCACAGGCGCTTCCCCCCCGTGTGTCTCCTTTGGGCTGCTGCCGGTGCAGGCACACCTCTGATCCCACCCAGCACGGCTGTTTCTTGGATAATGTCATGGTTCTCAGGACTTCCAGGATGAAGTGTAGAATCTGTCTTTTCGTGTTGTAACATCTGGAAATCTCTCCGTGAAATTTGAAAAAAAAAAAAAAAAAAAAAAAAAAAGGGGGGTTTAAGCTAAATGTTGAGGTTATGTGATTTACAAAGTGCTCTAACACCACAATGATGAATGCCATAAAATGGTTAGGGTAGATGGGACTGCTGTCAGGTACCGTGGAAGTGACCTGTTTGACTGCTGCAAGGAGCTATTAAAAGGGCAGCTATTAGGGAGTCCAGTATAAACCAGAGCCCAAAGCAGTCTTACATAAAAGTATGATATTACAGAGGTTGTCACTGTAGTTCTAATTGGCAAAAATTTGCCGTGACTTATTCCCCGGGAAAACACATTAACTTGCAGTTGAACAGATTTCTGTGTCCATAATTTGGTTTAACACATGATGAAAACAGTTGATTAAAACGCGATTTACCAGATTGCTGTATCTTATATTTCTGAACTGATCGGAACACGTGCCCATGCAAAAGCAGGGGCAGGCTTCAGGGGAAACAGGCACAACTCTGTCGCGTAGAGCTGTGGTTTTGGAGGAGGAGGAGGAGGAGGAGGAGGAGAAGAAGCTTCAGAGAGCCTCTTGCGAGGTTGTCAAGGTTACAGGTGCTATTGCTGCAGTAGGTGAGTGTCTTGGGCATTCTCTGCTGATAATTGGTATCGGCTGTTTTCTTCTGAGATAACAAAATTTGCATTTTAATTAGATTGTTGCATCTATCAACACTGAAGCATAACATTGGGATGCTTTTCACAGGACCACCCTAAGGTCTTTGAAAAAAAATTAAATAGCAGCATTTACCCCAATAATATTCTGAAACTTTTTTTAGTTTTTAAGCGTTTAAGAGGCGAGGATCCCGTTGTAAACTCTCAGTGAATTAACCACCAAATATGCCTTCCTAGTTCCTTAGATCCCGGTACAAATGTTGCTTTTGGAAGCTAGGATTCACCATTTTGGATGCGGGGAAGCCGAGAGCTGCATGCCAATCTGGTGCTCAGTGTGAGAACTGAGGATTTGCACTGAACTCGCTGCTTTGAGACGTCGCTGAGATGGCAGCAACTGTGCCTTAGCCCTAGGAAAGAAATCTCTGCTGATACCAGCATGGTGTGGCTCAAGCGGAGTCTGACAGTGCCAGTATATGCTTTAGGAAAACAAATGATGTCATGGAAGATTTCAGGCTGCGCTCGGAATTGGTATGATATGTCATACTGAATTTTCTGCCAGATTTAAGGGTGATACGGCAAGATCTTCATCTGCTGTGAAGATGTGCAGCACAGCTGACTTCCTTAGAGCCATGTCAGTGTGTAGAGCTGGGGATGGGGCCCAGGAGGTTCATGCTATAGATCAAACAAGCTCAAACAAGCCAGCTGCACTGAACGAGTACCGGATGCTAAAGCCGGGCAGAGTAGTGGTGGTAGTGAGCAGAGCTCAGAAGGCAGGCGGCCTGCTTTGCAGACTGAGGAGAAGAGATTCACTGCTCCTGCAACAGCAACGCCTGGTCAGAAATCCCACCACCGCTTTGGAGTTGGAACAGCCCCGATTTACCTGGAAATCTTTTCATGTGCAAGGTCAGGGTAATGTTGCAAATTTCTAAGAACCCAAAAATGTCTCACCCTTTGTGATGGGAAGACGGAAATCTTGCTAAACCAATACAAACTGGCCAGTTTTAAGTAAAACAGTAGTTTCAGCAAATGCCATGCCTTCAGGGCAGCTTGTCCACTCTGAATGTGGAGGAGACCCATGCTTCTGCCTCCCTCTACTAAGGGGGAGTGAGAAAATGGAACTCATGAGTCTAACACCAGCCTTTGGGTGCCTGCCTCATGGCCCCACTGTCAGCTTAAAGTCCTCAGTTTCCCCACTGTCCTTTTAGGCAGATGGAGAATCAGATCGTTAGCTGCTTCATCAGCTTTTCCGTCCGACTGGCAGGGGCCAGGGAAGGACACCAAGACCCAGGACTAGCTCATGCAGCTTCAGAATTTAATGAAGTTTGGGATGAAGCTCAGGTTGGGGTTTTTTTTTTTCCCTAGAAGTCTGAGGATTTGGAGAAATGATAAAAGGAGAGCTGTGGAATTACTTTTCCGTGTTCGGACACTATATTGTACTGGCATTTATGTGCATGGTGTTGCTGTAATATATTCAGTTCACCCTTTTTATTGATGACCTTTTCTGTAACACAATATTGTGTGCATGCAATATTGCAAAGAAAAAGATGAGTCAAGGACACCAGTTGACTATTGCCAGTCTAAGTACTGTATACGATTTGCCGTTACAGTAATGATGGGTGCAAATGCAGAACCAGAAAATAGGCAATTTTCCATAGAAAAGTTGCATGATACTAAAAAAAAATCTAGCTTGCTCAGTAATGTACTTTGTTGCTGTCATTTATTTTTGTAGGGTCTCATTCTCAGGTTATTGCTCTTCTGTAGATTTACCAGTGCAATGACTTTCCCCCATATTAAACAGTTTTAACAATTTAGGGGTAGCTTGTTGTATCTTTACATTTAATAACTTCCTGATGTAAGGACCAGTCACACGTGGCATTAAGGTGCTGCTAATTGTGAACGGAAGCATTTACATTTGGAATCCTGGTGAATTATATTGCGTGTGTTGCACTGTTTTTACTTCATTCCCTGGCTGGTTTTCATAACCCAAGTATAGCCTGTAACATTTACTTTCCCAGAATGAAGTAAATCCTGCACAGGGGATTGACATCACTTTTGTTCCTCTTGTGCCTTTTACATAGTGTTTAAATTTCAAGTGGTCCTGTAGGTTTCATACAAATTCTCCATGGCAAGTAGATTCTGCTTTTAATATTTTAACTCTTTATATCATATAGCTTTGTAAGTCATGGGGCTGTTACAGGCCAGCATGCAATACATGCAGCTCTCTGCCCAACATGCAACTGGACCCACCCTGGGGTGAAAGTTCTTCAGGGGCAAGAAGAATACCATATTTAACTGAAACTTAATTAGAATTACATAGACTAGAGTTGAAATCTTTTCAAGTTCCACTGAGGACAGCATAGTTAATAAAGCTGCTTTATCTCAGCCGAAAGCTTCCAGTGTGCGGTGGGACCCAGAGGGTTCTCTTCCACCCCAAAGTCCTCCTTCCTGTCCTGCCCAACTCAGGGGTACTTTGCATGGACAGACTGAGGGGATTGCGAACGCAAATGTACCATGGTAACATCAAGTTAGTAAAGCAGGTAATTTTACATGAGCTGAGCTGTATTTTGCTATCCATTCTGTGTCCAGAGCTCCCTGAGTCATCTGCCTGAATGGGCCAGAAGCCACCCAAAACTGGGGAAGAAGCCACATGTTAGAGGACTTTGTCAGCAGTCGGTCCTAAAACAAAATACTGGCTTAAATATTCAGAGGATTAACGGGTACAATTTGGTGAAGCAAATTTTTGAAAGTCTTGCAGGTCTCTTCATTCCTTTTCGTTGAGGAAAGGCCTTCATTATTGTCACTTTGGCAACTAATTCTCAGGCTCCAGTGTCAGTACACAAACGCATAACCTGATCCAAAGAGATAAGTACTAAAATTTATTTGTGAACTGCTTGGTTTGTGTTTCAAAATGTGCAGCATGCACCTACCTTTGGTTTTCAGAGGAAGCACTTAAAAAAAAAATAAAAATACTGCCTTAGAAGAAGAAGCCGCCATACTGTTTGCCTTAGGTCTTACAGTAGACCCCTGGCAACAGCAGACTGAACCTCGCTGAGATTTATTCACCTGTGTGGCAAACAGATTGGCAGTTGGTAAGCATTTTGCACACCCATGTTCCTTCAAGAGTTTCAGCTGTATCCAGTGAGTGTCTGCTGGTCCTACCCTGGTGGGTAGTGGTACCAAAGTGCGATTGAGTGGCCAGGCTCTGCCTGAGCGGCTGTTGTGGGTGCTGGGCAAATGGAAGGGCCAAGTGCCCCTGGGGACATGGCAGTGCATAGCAAGGAGACGAGTGGTAGGGTTTAGCGACGCTTTACAAGTGCGCGTGGATTTTCAACACAGAAATAGACTTCTTTTTTAATGGAGCTGTAGATAACACAGCACTCACAGCCTTCTGCAGCAGAGAGATGCAAGGATGACACCTTTTGAAAGAACCAGATCTGTCTTGTGAACACTGTGCTGGTGGGTTGTTCTCCTGCCTCATTCTTGGAAATGAAGTTATTCAGTGTACTATGAAAAGGGGTGTTTGTGGACTTGCTAACTCACATTAAATGGAATATTTCACTTTATACACGGAAAGCGACTTCATTCAGAAGGGGCTAGAGCTATTCCATTCTACTGGAAAAGGACTATTTTCTCATGAAATGGAAAAGAAACTAATCTGATAATTTGATTACTACAAAATTCTTGTTTCCAGTGGAGAATGAGTAATAACGTTTATAATCTGCTCTCCAGTAGCCTACAGCAGCACTGTTGCATTATCAATAGCCGGCTTTTTCTCTAGCTCAAATCCGTATTCATCTGTGGCGTCAGTTTGTGCCCAGGTCTCTGCCACAGAAAGGCTCTACTGCACCTTCCCCTCGTGGAGGGCAGGACGGTCCCTGCTGAAAACGTCCAGCCACGGCGGAAGACAGGGCCCTTGATCTCTTTGCTGCTCTTACGCCTCGTGCGCAATGCTCACATTTCTTTAATGTGCCCAGCGTTACTTCGTGTTAGGTTTTCCGTGCGCGAGATTAAGACTCAACTATGTTGGGTTACGGCATGCTGTGGGTATCGCGTAATAAACTCTTTCCTTTTCTTTAGGCCCGAACTGCTTTGCGGAAACCATTGTCATTCCAGCAGGCCGGGAGGTGAAAACTGATGAATGCACTATATGTCACTGTACTTACGAAGAAGGCACTTGGAGAATTGAACGGCAAGCTATGTGCACAAGACATGAGTGCAAACAGATATAGGAAACCTACACATCTAAGTACTTTCCGTGGTTTTTATAAAAATATCTCACAGCAGTGAGCACCCTAGATGACCCAGCGAACTCTGAATGAGAAGATTCTGGTGAGGAGCAAAGAATAAAATATTGATATTTTGTTTTTTCAAAGTAACATAATACTGCAAGGCAAAGAAGTGCATATATTTAAAGCATTTGGACATAAGAATACCTGTCTTAATAAATGTGTTATTTTCACAGTGAGTACACTGAAATACACTATAAAATATTCTATGTATTTCTATAATACCATTATAGAGCTTAAAAATAAATGTTTTATATAGACAATACAGATTAAAGTACTGTATCCTTGCCTGTCCTGTTGTATACATGCACCATGGCTAAAACATTACATTTCTGTTCTAGTTTCATCATATGAGGGTTTTCCTGGGGTTTGTTGGTTGGTTGGTTATGGGTTTTTTGCTTATTTTCAGTTTCGTGGACCAGGAAAGAGCCAGCATATGACAAAACTTTGACATTCTCGCTTTTGAAAAGAAATGGAGTGGAATATGCTTTCAGAGAACCTGCGCTAATTTATGAATATTGTAGTGTAGAGCTGGGTCAGCTCCTTCTCTTAGTTCCTCTGGTGCCTTTCTACTGGTCCATCACCGAGGTAACGTGGAGCAGTGGGTAATACAAAACTGCTCTCCCATAGCTGTTGTAATAAGAATTTAATCAGACAAAACCAATTCCTGTAAAGAATATCGCATTGCCCAGCTGGTGGAAATGACGGTAAGTAACCACACGGCATCGTTAACGTAACGCGTAGTGGATGAGAAGTGCAGCTTGGAAGGGCTAGAGTGGCCAAACAAGCCTCCGCTGATGCGGCTCCACGTTGCTCGTCTGTGGGTAGGAGAGCTGGTTAGTAGGTGCGCCATTCCCTAGACCCTGTTCTCACCACCCTGCTCGTGCTGGATCAACTTTTTGGGTCTTTCTGGCAGCCTGTATGGGGTCTGTGATGCTCTGTGTTGAGGAGAAAGGCTTCAAACCGGCTCTTTGAATCCTTCCGAGGATTTCTAGCACAGAAGCTGACCCTGGCTACATGTGAGGTGAATTGCATCTCCCTGCTTCAGCCACCAACAGCCTTTGCTTAGATTAATTTTGGGTGTAATTTCGTTTATCAATCACCAGCTCCTACATTACGTCTGCTTTGAATGCCTGTTAAGGCAACAACTCAAGAAAACACTTAAACATGGTCTTACCCCTAAGCCTTTGCTAGAGGGGGGAGTTAATGAATCAGTACCTAAAACCAGAAGACCATGACTTAAATTCCCACCTACCCTTTGCTGCTTACTTCCCTCGTGTAACCTGGTTACCAGGTTTGCATCCATATGAAGTACGATTTTTCTGGTACTTCTGAAGACCATGGGACTTTAGCCACTGACTTCAGTGGATCCCAGTTATCACCTCATGTCTGTATTCTGAGCATTTGTCTGTCTGTCGTTGGGTGTTATTTTCCCCAGTGATGGTAGGGGAGAGGAAGAGGAGTGACAGAATCAGAAATGAAGGAACTGTCTCTTGCACAGACAGAGCAGCAGAGTCATGCGTGGTGTTAATCTAGTCCCAAGAAGAATGGAGAGGGGAAGAGAGATTACTGTATTTAAATAGTTTTAAATCACACAAAAATCAAGTAAATAGTATCTTTCCCTGAAGTGGATGTACATGTATGTAAACACGGTACTGGAAATGCTGTTCTCCAGCAGCTGGCACTCCTAGCAGGGATACAGGAAATATTGTACCTGGGTTGTCACTCAGTCTGCTGGTGGCAGCGGAGGGTGATGCAGAGTACAGATTGTTGGGGGTTTTTTTCTTGGTAGAGGGGAAGAAGTGTTTCGTGTCTCATTTGCACCTAAACCGTAAGTACACTTCCAGATACGGACATAAATACTTGATTTTGCTGTTTTGTAAAAAGAGTACCTCATCCGTTGTATACCTCTCATTAACACAGTGAGACGCTGCTTACTTGGGAGTAAAGGAGGTATGATTTGGCTAAAGAGGATATTGTTTTAAGTGTACCTATCCATTTCATTAGATTCAGTAGTCATAGGACAGCAAGCTAGCTCCTAAATCAGCAGCACCCATCCGTCATGGCTGTTTAGGCTTCTGCTTACTGAAATCGAGAATCTGCACAGCTCTGAGGAAGCGCCATCAGTGCCCGTGGTGTTCCACGCGTGTCTCCTCGAGACGGGTGGAAGCACTCACATAGGGAGAGGCTATGCGATGTAAGAGCAGAGAAGGTGGACCTGCAACTCAGTGCGGGGTTGCCTTTCCAAATAGGCTGCTTAGTGTCCCTTCAAGAGACACATGTGTTTCAATGAAATTAGGAGAGACTCAGAATGTGTGTCTTTCAATGTATGGCCATAATTCTAAGTTTTTGGAAATCTCACCTCAGACTACTCACCCTTTGCTTTTCCTTCACTGGAGGCTCTCGTTAAGCCTTACATTGTTTGCCAGGGCTTGAATTTCTGTTCTTTGGGGAAGTTCAGTCTTTATTGTAGTAGTGAGTGCAAAGTTGAAGGATATTTTAGTGTGTGTTCTAGCGTAGGTTTTATAAATATCTTCTATTGTACATCTTTTCCAAAATATTTTTCCATCTTTCAGTCCTGGTACCAGCGTATTAATGTCATCTTTACTCTAGTAATAGGTTGGTCCTTTCCCATGTCATACGGAATTACCTGGGGAAATTAATCTTGACACCCAGCTCTGCGGGTGGTTTCCTAAAGAGATTATATTTTGAGATATAATTATCTTTCTTTTTGAGAAATAAACATCAAGTCTTTTGAGATTATTTTTCCCCCCATGTAGTGAGGTAGAAGTCATTATCATACAATCATAGAATCGTTTAGGTTGGAAAAGACCTTTAAGATCATCAAGTCCAACCGTTAACCTAACATAATGAGTTTTGGTCCTTCTTTATGCTGAGCTCACCAGCCACATCCAGCTTTGGCCTGTAGTGTTACCACGTGAGAGCTCTTTGGTTATCCCTGAGATGGGGAAACAGGCTGAGTGACTCTTCCCGGGCAGATCTCACCAGCCTCACCCAATTGTGGAACCCCAGTTGGCACGCAGCGTGTGGTGGGTTAGACCTGGTAGGTAGCCAAGTGCTGCGCAGCTGCTTACTCCCCCACCACCCCCCCACAGTGGGACAAGGGAAAAGAAAGGAAGAGTAAAAGCAAGAAGACTCATGGGTCTAGATGAAAATAATAAGCAGAGAAGTGGAAGAAAAAAAAAAAAAAACAACAAAAGAAGTGATGCAATGGCCATCATTCATCACCTCCTGTGGGCAGATGGGTGGACAGCCAGTTCCCAAGCAAAAGCTAACTAACCTTACCCGGGCGTTGCACCTCTCTATTTTGCCGCTAAGCAGGACGTTACATGGCATGGCACATCCCTTTGGCTAGCTCGGGTCACCTGCCTGGTTGTGTCCCCTCCCAAGCTCTTGTGCACCCCCACTCTACTCACTGGGTTTGAGCGAGAAGACCTTGACGCTGTGCACACGCGGAGGCCAAAATACTGGTGTGTTGCCAGCATTGTTTTGGTCACAGATCTAAAACAGAGTGCCGTACCACCTACTACGAAGAGTAACTCTGTCGCAGCCAGAGCCAGCACACAGCGATACCATCAGCAACCCCAGCACAGAGGCAAAGACACCAAAAGACCCCAAGAGCCAAACTCCAACAGGGGACTGCACCAAGCAGCGCGCGGGCTGTCGGTGATGGCATTGGGGAGCTGAGATTTGCAGCCTGCTTGCGTGATGTCACTTCACCCGGACAGAGGCTTCCTTTGTAGGAGTGGAAAATGAAGATGAGGAAATTAAAAGATTTCAAGTTAAAAATTAGCCATTATGGAATGCAGTTGGAAACCGTTCACCTTTAAACTAATTTAATCTCTAAGCAAAAAAAAAAAAAAAACAAAGCACAACTGCTGTGGTGGCCACATGCACTTATCTAAACGGTATGATTTGATCATGTAATATACCTGTTCATACTTAACCTTAAGAGACAAGCCATCTGCATCATTTCCAGTGAACCAAACTCCAGAGAATATCGGCTTCCCTGCTGATGCCGAGGTACTCGGCTGCTTTTTGCTTCGGCGCCAACAGCATTACACACCCAGCCTATGAGGAGTTCTTCAGCTTGGCAGGTGGGTTGTGTCCATAAAAGCCGTATTTCCAGACACACTGATAGCTCATGAATGATTCTCCATTTTAAGGTCTGTTGCGTGGATAATGAATGTTCTTCTCAGATGTTCTTAGGTAGCCGCATTGGCATGAATATGAGATTTCTGCTTCTACTTCACTTTGCTTCTGCTTGTTTCCCAGCTGAAATCAAGACAAATTAATTCTCGGTTTGGCCTCGTCCATTTTTGTAGGAGCACACTCTTCATGAATTTGGCTTCAAACCTGTGTAAGCAGGTGCCTGAAGAGATGATATTCTCGATGGTTTCAGGTAATCATAAAATTGCCCAGTCAGTGTGCAACAGGCTTCTTTATACTACTTGTTTAAACCACAAAAATGGAAGCATTGGTATTCACTTAAATACTTACACAAGATTTAAAAGGGAAAAGGGGAAAAAGAGGAAGGATATGAGATACGAGACAGAGTAGCTGAGCGTTACGACAGGAATGTTCAAAAAAAGAAAAACATAGCTACAATGTCATACAGGTATTTCATAGGGAGATTTTTCAAAGAATATCGTAAGAAAAGTGAATGAGAAGTGTATTTGGGCAGAAATTGAAATACAGGAAATTCTAGCTGGAGGTGGAAAAAATAATAATCATGCAGTAAGGGTGATTGAATGCTGGAAGATGTTGCCCAGAGATGTGGTGAAATCTCCATCCTTGAGGATGGTCAAAACCTGACTGGACACGGCCCTGAGCCGCCTGCTGTAGCTGAACCTGCCTTCAGCAAGGTGTTGGACTAGATGATCTCCAGAGGTGTAAAATTGAAAGCCGGGTGTAAATGACAT